GAAATGAGTGTTCAAAAGAGCATTTATTTGACATAGAAATCTTTTGTAACATTATAAATGTCTTTACTTCCACTTTTGATCAATTTAATGTATCTTTGCTGAATAAAAGTATTAATTTTCTTTAAAAAATCATACCAACCCCAAATATTTGAATGGTAGAATATATAGTGCCTGTTACAGAGACTGCTGAGGCATTATTTGAAAGAGTTCGCTTTTGTGATAATGTTATATTGTTTTGACTGGGCAGGCATCTGTGATCTGTATAAAGCAGTGCTGCTATAGTTAGTGTTGTACAGCGCAGTCTTGGCCATGGTTTTATATTCTGGATCATGTTCTGTTGATCTCCCTGTACGGTGTCATGCCAGAAAAAAACCCTGCTAAACTTAGTACAACTGTGAAGAAGCTTATCCTTTTATGTAAAGGTGTTTTAGGGTTAAGTGTTTGTTTATGTTGGTGTGTAAGCATTACAATGCGCAGTTTGCTTCTGCAGTACAAAGATTTGCCACTAGGGGAGGAGACATTTCATAGAGGACTGTAACATTTATATTCACTCATAATATCATAACATTCATGAACATAGGTTCTCTTTGTGTATGTTCGTGCATACACATGCAAAAAAAAAAGAGTATTGGAAACATGCATACTCACTAATGTTTGACAAACTCTCTCTACCTAACCATCAAACCATTACCCTTGTTGGGGCAATTGAATTGAATTGCATTTTTAGTAACAATATAAAAATGCATAAAACTTTCTTGAAAGCTGAAAAAACCAGCATGCTGGTTAGGTATGTTTTGAAGCTGGGATGCTGGTTTGAGCTGGTCCTTTGCTCTTTGCTGGTTTAAGCTGGTCCTTTGCTGGTTTAAGCTGGTCCTTTGCTGGTTTAAGCTGGTCCTTTGCTGGTCCTTTGCTGGTTTATGCTGGTCCTTTGCTGGTCCTTTGCTGGTTTATGCTGGTCCTTTGCTGGTCCTTTGCTGGTTTATGCTGGTCCTTTGCTGGTCCTTTGCTGGTTTATGCTGGTCCTTTGCTGGTCCTTTGCTGGTTTATGCTGGTCATGTGCTGGTCTTAAGCTGGTCGGACCAGTTTAGGACCAGCTCATGACCAGCTAAGGACCAGCATAAACCAGCAAAGGTCCAGCATAAACCAGCAAAGGACCAGCTTAAACCAGCTCAAACCAGCATCCCAGCTTCAAAACATACCTAACCAGCATATGCTGGTTTTTTCAACAGGGAGATTAGTTTCAGAGAGTTACATTTAATTATGTGTGAGTTTTCCACTGTTGCCATCAGTAACACACTCAGAGGTGAGGTATATAAAGGCTATGTTTAGCACAGATGAGGTCAAACGTGATGGGTGAGACTGTGCCGTTGGGTATTAGGGTAAGAAGTACCTTGTAGCTTTTAAACCAGTTTTCAGTTCAGATGGAAAGGGGAAAAACATATAAATTATTCGTACAGTCTCTACACTCTAAAAAATGCTGGGTTAAATACAACCCAGTGCTGGGTAAAATAGGGACAAACCCAGCAATTGGGT